CAGCCTGGCAGGAAGTTCCAAAACTAGGCATTCTCCTGAGTAGAAGGAGCATATATCATGTAAACAGGAAAAGAGTCGAATTTAGGAGAGGAGAGGTTAGTGATTTCTTCTGAAAGATGGGGAGGTCGAAGGGTGTGGATAACTAAAATACTGGAATGAATGTCTGCAGATCTGATGAGGTTTCAGGATCAGTACCAGAAAACTGTTGTGGAAGACAGGGAGATTTCTTGTCCTGACACTTAGGAATTGGACATAAATGGTAATGGAAGAGATAGAGCTGTTGGAGCATTCTTTTTTTTTTTTTTTGCTGGTCATGGGGCCTAAAATCTGGGCCTGGGCACTGTCCCTGAGCTCTTCAGCTCAAGGCTAGCATTCTACCACTTGAGCCACAGCACCACTTCTGGCTTTTTCTGCTTATGTGGTACTGAGGAAGCGAACCCAGGGCCTCATGCATGCAAGGCAAGCACTCTACTACTGAGCCATCTTCCTAGCCCCTGTTGGAGCATTCTTGATTAAAAAAAAATAGGTGTCTGCTTCTGGAGCTTTGATATTTTCTAGGATTTATAAAGGAGAAAGGTTCTTACAACCTTATCTAATATATCAGAGGTTTGTTAGCAGATCGCAAGAGGATGGAGCATACAGAACCTGCTACAAAGTCTGGGAACACAGAGATCACAGGGTGAGCCATGGTGGTTGAGCAGCTGAGAAGGAACAGTGCTCAGCCCTCAGAAATGTCACTGTGTTGGGCCTTGGCAAAGAGATGACCACTGAGAGGGTCAGCAAGTAAGAAGAGGACTGGACATAGAGGAAGCAACACTCATGTATCCAGACATTACGATTACACTCGGTTCTAGTAAGGAAGGGTTTTGTTTCAGTTTGTTTTCCTTTTCCCTTTGGTCTGGACATAGGTGTTCAAGTAGCTCATTTGCCCCATGGGGAGAGTGATCATTGAAAGCTGAGAGAATCAGGTCCTCATGGTGTCTAAATCCCGAGAGAGGAACAGTAGAGATGAAAACCAAGGAGTAGACACAGGAAATAAGGGTTTGAAGTAGTAAGGAAATCCAGAGTTTAGACAAAAGAGAAGCAACCAGACACTAGAATCAAGGAAGATAGTATCCTATCTAAACGTATGGATAGAGTACCTAGCAAAAAGAGCCAAGATTTGGGGAAACAGGTTTTATTTCACATCCTAATTTTAAGAAGAAAAAAGTAGTATGTAATGTATGGCATTCTTCTACTAGATAATTTAAAATAAATTTTGTTTCTAGAAGGTTTAAGTATTAATAATAGAGATTAAAAGCTAAAAAAAGCCCTTCCATCTCATAGGTATATGTTTATAAACATCCCCTACAAGCTTTTCTCACATTTTAAATATGCAAGTATATTTGAAGTATGTATCTTAAGCTAGAGGTATCACATGAAAAACATGTTATTTTGAACAATTAATATATGCTAATTTGAGTAATAGGTATCTATAGGTATCTCTCTCTATAATATGTCTACATATATAGCTAATAAATGTGGGGAGAGAGAATGAGAAAGAAAGTAAGAGAGAGGGAGAAAGAGAGAATATATTGACACTATTTTAGAAATTAAGAGTATATCCAAATTAGCTTGATTCCCTTCCTGGTTGTGTTCTTTTATTTTTGGCTTGCTATTTGCAATAAATGACTCAGAAACGGAAGTGAAAAATCATTTTACAGTTTGACTAGAGATCTGTTAGGGTTGTTGTAATTCTTACATAATACCACTACAGTCCTCTGAATGTTTATTAGATGTCTGGTGCTAGGTTCCTGTGTAACACAACAATACCAGCCCCCTAACTTCCATGCCTCTGTAATTATATGTAAACTTGTTTAAGATCATCCAGTACAATGATTCATCACTCCAAGGTGCTCTGCTAAAGGCTGCATTGTTACAAGACTATTGTTCCCTACTGAATATATTTATTTTGAGCACTGGTTAAATTTTTTATTTTTAAAATAAGCTCTAGATCTCTATCTGTACTTATGTAAGAAATAACAAACACTTGAATGCATCTAGCTACTTTGAAAAAGTTACTAATGATAAAAACAAAAGGCTATTGTGTTCTTAGAAATATCTGTTTGGATTTATTGTTATCATTATCAGCATCATTACATCATCCTCATCCTTACCTGTGAGTCTTGGTTAGTATTGGTCGCTGACTATTTAGTTCAGGGATTAAGTTCTAGTAGCATTTAAAAATAGTATGTATTAAAGAACAAGAGTTCCTTCCCTAGGAGAACAATGGGTCATGATCAAAATGATAGTTGTTCTTTTTTAAATTACTTTTTTTATTGTTATAAAAGTGATATACAGTGGGCTGGGAAGGTGGCTCAGTGGTAGAGTGCTTGCCTTGCATGCCTGAGGCCCTGGGTTCAATTCCTCAGCACCACATAAGCAAAAAGAAAAAAGCTG